CCTTTTCGTATACAACACTCGGTACTCTAGCTCCCCGAATGCCACCGCTGCTTACAAGACGCAGTTACCAAGTTCACTGTGAAGGTGCTGGTCATTCGACATCCCACCCCCAAGGTAGCAAAAGCGGAAGCTGGTATCCAGTACTTCAGCACCAATGTTGATTTGCGACAATTTTGAAGATTCCACCTTCGCTGAACGCTGAAGGAGACAGACAGTTTTGCTTGTGTTGATCACGAGCCCGAATTCCACCGCTGTCAAAGCCAGAGAAATAGTCACGTGTTGCAACTCATCCTCACTGGGCGCAAACAACGCACAGTCGTCAGTAAAAAACAACATACCGATAGTTGCCTCACAGACTAGAGTTCTCGCACCGAAACGACGGATGTTAAGCAACCCACCATCAATACGGTGTTCCACATGAACACCGTAAGCATAAACAGATTCAAAAGCACATCATTGCTTGAAGATATATATTAAACAGAGCAGGAGTTAAGACACAGCCTTGCTGCACACCAGAGACAACTGCAAAGTCATCCGAGGTCTCTCCACTCAGCTGCACAAACGCGCGCATACAACTGTGCAGACGTGCAATTAAACTTACAAACTTTCTCGGACTACCAAACTTACCCAACACCAGCCACAAGGCCTCACGGTTCACCGTAACAAATACTTTGGCGAACTCAAAATGCGAGTACAATGGCTGGTGTCGTTTTCTACACTTCTTCTGCAACTATCGAGCCGCAAGCATCCTATCTATGGTGCTGCGACGTGAAGGGAATCCACACTGCTCTTCCGCCACGTTCGGTTTCACAACCTGACTGGCGAGGCGGTTGAGCAGGATTCGGGAAATTATCTTTGCCCACACAACGCAGCAAGTTGATGCCACGATAGTTCGTGCAACGTTACTTGCCCCCTTTGCCTTTGTGAAGTGGTAGCACAAGTTCATCCTTCAGCTCAGGATGCACCTCCTCCTCAATCCATACACTTTGCACCAAGTGGTGCAGCGCAGTCACCAACGCGTATCCGCAGAGTTGCAATAATTCAGACGTGATCCCATCGGCACCAGAACACTTGCCGTTTCGCAGCTGAGCAAGTGCTCTCTGCGTCTCATCCAGTGTAAGCGCGTCCGTCAGACTCGCCTTCACATAGTGTTGCTTAAGGCCGTTCAAAGTAGGCCAGTCGGTTTTTGAAAGTTTGAGCAAGAGACTACAAAGTATTTATGCCAGATCTGCTTTATGTCTGCAGTTTGTGTGCTAGTAGCCCCAGAGATACCATCGATCAGCGTCCTCAGCAGCTCCAATCTCGGTCCATACACCGCAAACAAGCAGTCAAAGAATTCCTTGTGTTGGCGACGTTCGACGTAGCACCCAACTGCTTCGCCTTCTCCGTCCACCATGCATTTTAATGCCACGGAATTCTCGGTTCAGCAGCCGTCGAAGTTTGTGAAGCTGACTCTTCTTCCCCAAGTCACTGTGGTCCGCAACATGTGCAGCAAATGCTGCATTCTTCCCCGACACCAATGCGCTGATCGTCGCATTGTTCTCATCAAAACAATCAGGCCGCTTGCAGTTTGCGCGCCCCATGGTCTCCTCGGCAGCAGCTGTCACCTGGTCGCGAGTGTGGTGCCACAGATCGCCCATTGTGGCTATGCACTCCACATCACACAGTCGCGCAGCCATCGCCTCCTCCAGCTCAGTACGTTTCTCCACAGTACCGAAGGAAAGAATGTTATATGTACAGCGATTCACGGCCGGAGGGTAACACACAGATTTATGAAAATATATGTAGTTTTGTCCGCACCGATTTGTATCATATTTAGCTCTACGCAGTACACGTGTCATGCGCACTTCACGCATATCACGCTGACGTACGATGAAAGAGTAGAGCAGGTGCTCGTGACCACTCCGCGGGTGAGTCCAAGTTGCTCTATCACTCGTACTCAGTGCAAACCGAGTGTTCGTGATCATCAGGCTTTGAGTTGCACACAATGTGGGCAGTCTGTCACCGTTCGCATTCGCTAAACCAATGCCATGCGAACCGATAACATCTGTCCACACCGATGTATCACGCCCAACGCGCGCGTTGAAATCACCCAGCAGAAATAGTCGGTCGCTCCTCGGCACAGACCGTATCACGGAGGATAGCTCAGTGTAGAATTGATCACGCGTGTCATCAGGATAACACATGGTCGGGCTGTAGGTGCTTTTAAAATTTATAAACTTACCTCATCCAAGTCGTAGGCAAACATACCTCAGTCACGCGCTGATGACCGTTGGTTCCCCCACCAGCTGGCCATGAAGCCGATCGGATATTGCAAATCAGACCCATGTTTACGTGGTGCTGAGGCGGCGTTGCCCATCCAGTAGATTGTGTAGCCAGCGCCTGCTTCATGCAATTTACCTTGCTTAGCGAGCCGAGTGTTATTGGACGCCGCAAAATCGATGTTGTAGCTTACCAGTTCCATCGTGACGAGTGCAGTGCATCGCTCGGGATGCTCATTCGAGTTATGGTCCAGTAGTTTGCGCACGTTCCAGCAACCGATGCTGAGTGTTTTGCGCGCAGCCATACGATTACTCTTTTGGGTAATCGCAAGTGAGATGACGGTTGTGCTTCCGAGGTTAGCTTGACGGACTCACCCGGAGCCTTTGGCTCAATGGCCTGACCCATAAGGCAGTGGAGAGCAGAATTAGCTCGGGAATGTGATTGCAGAGACAGATAGGGATATGCGTGATGGCCGTCACATGCAGCTGTGGAGGTACTGGAACGATTCATATATGTTTTGCGACCCTAGTAGGATACACCTGCGACCACGGCCAGATGCAGGTGGGTTTTGGCGCGTTTGCACCAATTTGTCCAAGGGCTATCTAAATTGAAGCGGGCAGTAGCAAACGCTTGAGTACCCGGAGGTGCCCTGCCATCGTCAGAGACAATGCTTGGCGCTCGTGCTCTACACTAATCGAGCTGTGAGCTTATAACCCGTAGACCTGTTGTCTTCCATGACTAGGTTTTACGGGAAGAGGGTTATCGACCACTTCCTAAGCTCGGAGGAGGATGGACTAGGATACTGGCAAGCGACCCAAATCTGACAGGAGAAAGATTAGGTTCTTCAGCCAAAGCCTTCGATTAACTGTACACCCAAAAGGCAGCGGGTTTAGCACAATTTCAGTTCACAGACACATGCGGATTGGTGTCCTGGACTTTAGCAAATTGAAGGGCGTAACCCAACTCTCACCTAGCGCTCATCACGAGGCTTCCAGGATATAGGCCCATTGCACAAGAGTAGCAGCAGTGGGTAGACTATCTGTTAGGCTCTATCCACCACCACCGTAAGCGCACCGTAGGCCATCCTGCCATCCGGTGGGGCTGTAGTCAGGTAAGCAAACTTCGTTGCGTTAAGCGCGGAATTCCTACTCTGCACACAGCATGCGGGTTAAAAATAAACCACACAAGAGACGGCCAACGGTTTTGGACAACAATTTAACCAAACCTTCCAGAGTATATATATATATATATATATATAGCAACAGTTTACGCATAGACGAGAGCCATCAGAAACCCTGGGACGCAAAAGAAGGTACAGAAATAGTAAAAGAAAACATAACACAACACATAAAAGTCCGTGGTTTCGTCAGTGGGCGTGATACTACCCGGTTGCCCAAGCCGAAGTAGGGTGTTGACTTAGGGGACACCTCTCCTAGCCTTTGACTAGATAGCCTGTCCGCAATGCAGCGGAGCGAATTCAGGGAATCGCGCCCACTGAGAGCCGCTGACTGATTTCTCAGTTCATACGTCTTTAGTTTGTTCCTTTCTCAATCATGGGTCCAATGCTCCCCAGAATTACGGCATAAAGTTGCTGGAATACAATGCTTCGCCAGGATGAAGCAAGGGACAGTGACTTTATTTAGTGGCGAGTCACGTCCACCACGTCACAGTGTTGTTAAACGGACATATCTGGCTTTTTATAGGGAGAACGCTTGCCAAGCAACAACCCACCAAGTCCTGGAACACTGCCGCCGAACCGTTTGCTGAATCAGGAAAATCCCGTACCACCCAGCTGGCACCACGAGGAGGTTGTTTGACAAGCCGGCCCTTCCAGAGTGTGCAGCCATCCTACACCATGCCTAGACAACTCATGCAGCCATCGGACCTTAACTACATATCTTTTTGGACCGCAGCTGTACTGTAACGACTGATGTTTTTGCGCGAATACTGCTCCATTGGTGCGGACGACACTCGCCCGAAGGGGTTGAAAATTGCCGTCATGAGCTTAGCTGAACCGTTAGCAACACTTTTTCAGCGACGGCTTGATGGGATGCACATCCAAAAAGATGTGGAAGCCCGGGATCATCACTCCAGTGCACAAAAGTCGTAGCTGTGCAGAATCAGCAAATTATCGCCCGATAACACTTCTTCCGGTGATCTCCAAGATCATGGAGTCTATTGTAACTGAGACAGACCTGGAGTACCTGAAGAACGTTAGCATTTTCGTTCCGGAGCAGTACGGATTTCAACAAATACGGTCCTGCAGCACAAACCTGTTGATAGCTCGTGCAACCTGGACGGAGACTGTGAACGCCGATGTAAGAGTGGATGCAGCATGCCTGGACTTCTCAAAGACATTCGACCGCCTGGACCATCTTATTCAACTGCAAAAGCTCCAGAATTATAGTATCGGCGATCTCGTTCTGGGATGGTTAGGCGAATTTCTCGTTCAACCTCATCTGGATGTGAGGGTTCGGAGCACCCTGTCGGAACACCTATTTTTGTGCTACTTTTATTTTTTAAAGTAGTGATGGAAATTAATGAGATAATTTCCAATGCTTAGCTCCAACGATCTATGGTATGTTCGGTGCGGTTTCGGCTAATGCGCATGGTAAACCGTGCTCCGAGTTCATTCTGTTCGCTGACCAAACATGAACAGTCAGTGGCTTCTCATTTGTTTCAAGCAACCCTTCCATATTCAATTGTTCATTTGTTTTCCCAGCTTGACACTTTTTCGC